GAAGTTCCTCCATGGTAGGACTGCAGCAGTTTGCAGTGGGAATGTAGACCTATAGCGATCTCTCACTTACCCTTTCCCTGCACTGGGGAGCCTCTCTGAGGACTCCCAGCCAATTCTGGCTGGGCTGGCTGCCTTGCCTCCCTCTGCTTTCCTGCCTTAGGAGTTCTCAGTCACTTCTCTGCTAAATTCAGTGTTCTCTCTTGGATGTTCTATTCAAAGTGTGATCATCATCTCACCATTTTGGTTCTTCCTTGTGGGGGAGAAGAATGCCAACTTCCTTTAGTCACTCAATGTAATCTTTCTGAACCTCATATTATTGTTTTGCATTAGTAGTTTCTTCCTTTTTATTGCTGAAAGTATGTCATTGTTTGAATATACTGCAACTGGTTTATTCATTCTTCTGTTGGACACTGAGTTCTTTTTCCTTTTGGTCTAATATGAATAAAGCTTCTGTAAACGTTCTTCTATAAGTCTTTTTGCAGACAATTGCACTTCTCTGGGTCCATTCCTAGACATGGAATTGCGGGACATAGGGTAGGTATACACTCAATTGTTTTGCAGTTTTTAAAATAAAATTTTTATTTTAGAATAGTTTCAGATTTATACAAAAATTGCAAAGATAGAACATAGAAGTCTCATATCTCCACACTGGGTTTCTTCTATTATTGACGTCTTACATTAGTATGGTACATTTGTCACAATCAGTGAATCAATATTGATACATTATTATCAACTAAAGTCCATTACTCTTCAAATTTCCTTCATTTTCACCTAATGTCCTCTTTTTGCCCAGGATCCCATCCAGGATACCACATTACATCTAGTTGTCCGGTCTCCTTAGGCTCCTCTTGGCTGTGGCAGTTTCTCAGACTTTCCTTGTTTTTCATGACCTTGACAGTTTTGAGGAGTACTCATCACGTATTTTATAGGGTTTACCTCAGTTGAGATTGTCTGATGTTTTTCTCATAATTAGACTGAGGTCGTTACGAGTTTTGGGGAGGAAGACCACAGAAGTAAAGTGCTATTTTCTTCACATCGTATCAAGGGCACATGCGATAGACATGACTTCTGATCACTGATGTAAACCTTGGCTGATGTAGTGTTTGTCAGGTTTCTCCACTGGAAAGTTACTCCCTCTCCCCTTTTTATGCTGTATTTTTTGGACAGAAATCACCCTGTGCAGCCCACACTTAAGGAGTAGGGAATTATTTGGAGTTCTTCTTCATGGAAGATTTATATTTAATTTTTAAGAAACTGTATGTAATGTTTGAACACTTGCACAAGCAAAGTGCTCCTCTTCCCTGACACTTGGTATTATTAGTCTTTTAAATTTTAGCCATTTTAGTTGGTGTGAAGTGGTAAAATGAGCACCTTTTCATGTTCCTATTGGCCATTTCTTTTCTTTTCTTTTTTTTTTTTGAACTTGCAGGTCATCTTTGCACAGGGGCCATGCCCATCTTCTCTGTATTGTTCCAGTTTTAGTATATGTGCTGCCAAACCAAACTATTGGCCATTCTTATATCTTGTGTGTGTAATATCTCTTTAAGTCTTTTGCCCCAGTTTTTAATTGGGTTGCTTGTCTTTTTATTATTGAGTTGAGGAGTTATTTGTGTATTCTGGGTACAGGTTGTTTGTTCAATGTATGCATGAAAATATTTTCTACCAGTCTGTGGTTTGCCTGTTTATTTCTTAACTGTATCCTTTGGTGAGCTGGATTTAAGATTTTCATGAAGAGATTTGGGGTCCAGTGTTGGGAGTAATGGACGCTCACCTGTTTTATATTTGATGATGTTAATTTTTAGTGGTGTGCTGGTGGACATAAAGGTTGCAATCACAATTTCTTTTCAAGGCATCTCATATTGCATTAAAAAAATTTTTCCAAAGGAATGTTCAAGACTTCTGCATAGTAACAATGATTGTGTTGTTGGGAGTGAAGATCCAGCTATATTAGATCTCTTTGGATAGCAACTGCCAAACTGCCAGTGTGTAAAAGAAGCCCATGTGGGAGGATCATCTTCTGTCCTTTGCCAATTATGCATTCTCCTTTTCCAAGAAGCTTTGGCGTAGTCATGAATGATATAGTACAAGAGGGGACATATGCTACATGCTGTTCAAGTCAAGTTCTATAGACACTGAGGAATCCAGCCGGGGAAACAGTCACAATAGCACCCTCTGCTAGCATTTTCCCAAAGATTCGATGACAGGGCGTGTACAAATTAATAATAAAAGAAGCCAGACTTCTCTTGGAGGAAAAAAAGGAATTTTTCTTAGGAAAAGTGGCATCATGTAATGTTGAATCTGTACTCATAAGAGACTCCTAGAACTGATAAATGAATTCAGCAAAGTCTCAGGCTACAAAATCAATACACACAAATCTGAGGCATTCATATATGCCAACAACAGTCAAGCAGAAGATCAAATCAAAAACGCAATTCCTTTTACAATAGCCTCAAAGAAAATTACATATCTAGGAATATATTTAACAAAAG